CGGACCAAAATGGCAGCAATCCAGAACAGCTCCTATTGAGAAGAGAGGTGTGTATGATACAGCTTCCCAGTGCTGAAGCACAGGCTGTCTTCTAAAAGGGGGTTGGAATTCAACTTCAACTGCATCCAAAGGAGACATCTTTTGCTTTTGCTGGGGGCTGGAACATCTAACTACCCTTAACTCCAAGAGAAGGGAAGCCTCTATGACGTCTGAGGCTAGGAGCTCTAATCATGTATACAGAGCGCTGTCTCCTTATAACCAGTCAAACTTTTACTCCCATTGCCGATTTTCTGTACAGGAACTACTATAACAGGGGTGGCCAGACCGGCTCAGTTGAAGAGCCACACACGGCAAATGTCAGATGTTTGAGAGCCGTAAGTGGGTGCACAGAGGGGGCAGAGGGTGAGCAGCAGGTGGGCACCCGCAGCAAGCCGCAAAAGAAACCCAAAGAGCAAGCCTGTTTGGCCACCTCTGCACTGTAATCGTGTGTCAGGGGCCAAAGAGCCCCAGCTCACACTCTGTATTGCACGAAAGTCACTAAGGGTGCAGTCCTCCTAGGATGCTGCTAAGCCCCCGAACGCAGACACCCAGCCTCCCTGATCTCCTCCTCTCCCTGCCCCCCAAAATATCCCTCACAAAGGCAGCTTGCCCTGTCATTCCTATGCAGAGCTGTTCTTTCCAACCAGCTTCCATCTTTGAAGCTGGAAATCCAGAAAGTCCGGTGACCACTCTGAAGCTGCCACGGGGACACAGGGTCATTCTTCCAGGGTCGGAGACAAACCGCTGCACTTTTAGCCCCAGCCCTACTCCAATATGGAGATAACAGTAACCGGCTTTATAGAGAGCGTGAATGCAAAGCGCTTTGAACGTCCTGCAGTCCTCCATGAATAGCATTAGTATTCTTTAGCTAGTATATGCTTCAGCTTAGCTCATGGAGTTACATGGAGCAGAGCTCAAATGTTCACGTTTGTTGTGGAAAAAAGATCTGGCACATGCTGATCTCACAGATATATCGGTATGACCCATCAAGTCTAAGGTGGCGATGCAAGTTCACTCCTAGCAGATTTTGTTGGCTAGCATTGGCACAGCAATACACTTTTTGCAATGGGCTCTGCAGCCTTCTCCAAGCACGGACGCATACGCAATGGCAGTAGTGTGTACTCATCTCAGCTGGCATGCATTTGCAGGCAACAGTGGAGCTAGTCTGAAGCACAGATCCATGTACTGCAAAACAAGCTTTCTAGGACATTTCAGTAGGGAAGGTGGTTATGAGTGGCATTATCTTCCAACTAAAAATGCTAGTTTATTAGCTATCAAAAGGTTGTGTGTGTGTGTCTTTCGGCAACCTGTAAGGCACACAATATTGTGCCAAGGAGTGTCGACATCCATGGTGCTCTCAAGTACCATGATCCAGTGTATTTATAGTATTAGTTTCAACCCAAAAGCATCCCTGTGGCTATTCAGTTTGCACAACCTGCTAAACAGGCTATTATGATAAAGACCGAAGCATCTGCCTTTGATCTGCTCTCAGAAACTATGTGGCTACGGCTGGATTTCTCCTGGAATTCCACAACCCCATCATATTGCGTTGTGTCTCGAATGCTAGTAACACAGCCAAGACTGTTGCTAGTGCAAGATGACTTCCACTCTCCATGCTTAGCAAACAACATTGGCCTAGAAAATGTGACCCAGAGAAAGGGAAGCTCTGGGATTTAGTTGCAGAGGCAGGATTTAAATTCACTTCTGACTTCAGTTTGCAAGGACCAGATGCAGCAGCACTTGGCAGTGGTATCGTCTTCCAAAAGAAGTCTATTTACAGTTGAATAAATCCATGAGATAGCGAGGACGTCACATCATTCTCCCAGAAAAAGATCATTTATACAGCTCCTCCAAGGTTTTCCAAACAAGGTTTGGAGAACGGAAGGCAAAGTAGCTGAAATCACGCTTCCCGCCATGCCGTTCCACTAGTGGACATGACACCAGCAGGAACCAAGTTCTGAACTTTACACAACAGGGGAATTTAACTAAGGCAATGTTTGTGCAGCCACGGTCATGCAACTATCTGCACACAGTATTTGTGCAACCATTTGCACTTTTGCAATCCATTGCGCAACGGGGTGTGCGTGACGGTTGTGCAGCAGGTTGCACAACCTGTTTTGCATGCATCACGCACATCCATGGCTGTGCGATGGAAGGTCTGCGAGAGAAATCTGCGTTTGCGCGCTGACACCACCGGCTATGGTGCTTCGTCAGTCTGTCCCAGCTTAGCTCACAGATGCATCATGAGCTTCACGTTATAAGGGGACGGTTATTTCACCGCCTCCTAGACTGGCAGACAAGACAGGTGGAATCATGACATCACAGAATCCTACAATAGTAGAGCTGGAAGGGGCCAGAGGGCCATCGGGTCCACCCCCCTGCTCAGTGCCGGACTCCAAGCTAAACCATCCCTCTCAGCTGGTGGTCCAGCTGCTTCTTGAATTGCTCCGGTGTGGGAGAGCCCACAACCTTCCTAGGCCGTCGGTTCCATTGTCATACTGCTCTAACAGGAAATGTTTCCTGATATCTAGCTGGATTCTGGCTTCCTAAAACTTCCTGAATATTAAGCAACAAATCCCAATTTTTATTGTCTATTGTGCCAAGATAAAACACTGCCTGATTAGTTACTGAAAGGCAGGACAGAAACACAATTAACAAATGGACATCACAAACAGGCAGGCGGACATAGCCTGGACTCATCAATGCAAGCATTTATGTCCATTTGGAGATAAGCAAAGGCTGTGCTGCTGAATTGCTGATTATACTAAGTGATTAGAGATCTTTTGATCAATTAAAAAGTGGAATCTGATGAATTGGGAGGCTTTTTAAAAGTGCATTGTTTCCCATGTAATTAATTACCAAATCCATGGCCTACAAGTGACAAAATATTCCTCCTGCCATCTCACTGGAGAGGATTCCATGGGGCAGGATGGTGGTTCAGCTGTGGCAGGGATTCACCACCTGCTCTTTTCCTTCAGGACATTTGTCCTCTTATGCATATGCAAATTTGTCTGGATTCCATCAGCCTAAGCTCTGAGTAGTCAGAGTTTCTCTAATTGAAAGACTGCTCTGATGTCCTGCCTCCCAAAACACAACCAATTTGTTAAAGCTCCTAGCAGAGCAATTCTGTGGTTCCAAGGGGCTTAACAAGGGCCATAGGACTGTCTCGAAAAACCCACCCAAGTTCTTAAGCTCTGACCACGGGGTCTTTTCCCTAAATCAGAGCCCCCCCTTTTCTTGCTCCTTCCAGGAACAACCACCTCATCAAGAGGATGGGAGTAGGAGCATCAGGGGGGTGCCAGTGGACTGGGGAGGAATTGCTTTAGGATCTTTACCCCTAGCAAAGAGGGCATTCCTTGTTTTGAAGGATAGAGGGCCAAAATTGCTCCTGTTTGCCAGTAAGAGCCTTGCATAAAGAGCACTGCATTATCACTACCAGACTTGCTGCAGCGGATTCGGGTCTTGTTATGCATTTCTTCCTGTTAGGGTGGTCTGATAATAAAGACTCAAAACTGGGACAACCCCCTCCTAGTATGTCCCTGCTCCGGATATTTTATGCTACCATCCTTCTGAACTTCTAAACAAACATCAGCGTTGCTTATTGGTGATTAGATCTGAGAAAAGCAGGGGAAATAGGCTGAAGATAAGGATCTTTAAACACCTCCAACAAGGTATCTTGAAAAGCCAGACAGCAACACTCTGGGAAGCTGCCAAATTTATTTGCTCAATATCCTCATTTATATTTGAGAGTGAATCTAGCAAAGTGTGTGGAATTGGACGGCTCCCTCACTGTTCTGAGAAAGTAGATTTGCAACCACAGCCTAAGATAGCCCAGAACATGGCCAAAACTATGAAGGAGGAGTCCTGGTTGGAGTCTTCATTGTGAGCCAGACAGCAGGAAGAAAACCTCTTCTCCTGATCTACACTTGACATCTCCAGAGGGCCACTGGGGATTCTCCACCGATTTCTCTTCCTTCGTTCCATATAGGAACACTACCAGAATTTTAAAGGCATGAAAAAGAGCAGCCAAATTCATGTGGCGTAAAAAGATACAAGGCAATGCACACAGAAAGACAAAAGGAAGGCGAGCAGCCCTGGTTGTGGCAAAAGCTGACTCAACAGGACATGATGGCAAAATCAAGGATAGTCGTCTGATGTGAGCACTGGCTGGTGGGAGGAAGGGAGGTGTTTTCGTCACAGCAAGTGTGGTGCGTATGTGTTAAAGCATCCAGGCATAATTCAAAGTGCAGAGGAAACCTTGGGACCCTACTGCTGTTGGCTTCCGTTTACCCCATGCCTCCTTAACCCTTAACAGGAAGTCCCTTTCCCAGTGGGAAATCTCTTGAGCCTGCATCTCATAGCCGCACCTCATCTCAGGGGACTCTTGGAAGGGGCTGCAAAGCATTCTTGTAATGGAAGGGCTTCCTCAGGCCACTTCTGTGAGTGCTGCCAAGAATGCCTCTTTTTGCCTCGGTTTTTGAAGACTCGCAAAAGTACCTGCTACCACATGTACTGTGAGAAACAGCCTGTCTAAGCTTGGCCGGCAGACCCTAGGAAATCAATGCACATGTTCTAGCAGATGCATGGCCCCATCGTGTTCTTTCTGGCTGATGCCCCCTCTGTGATGCGCATTCTTGGCTCCCAAGCCCCTTTCTCTCCTGCAGCACATGGTGTTTCCTCCCAAGGGTTATGTTTTCTCTGGCATTCCATAGCAATATTTTGAAAAGTGCAAAAACATTTAGACTTCTGGGCATGCAGAGCAAGAGCTGGTTCAATGCCATCCTGAAATTGTAAATTAAAAAAAAAGAAGGATCAAAGCATCTCATGAGTTAGCATCTTCGCTTCCCAAAGAACCTATTATTCTTTGAATGCAAGCACTCCTCTTGAAGTTGTGGTCGTATGGCCGATCCAAGGTTGCAAGATCGATTTCTCTGTCATTCCTCAAAACTCACGTATGCACCCTCTGGACACCAACCACCCCTTGTACAACCCCTGTCGGGTCCTATTGCTATTTTTTCTGTCATTATAATTAAAGCACGTTTGTCACAGCACAGGACAGATCTGTTCCCCCCACTCCCAAGGCGTAATGAGTGACAGGTTCCCCCGCGACACCTTCGCACTGGTGTGTGTGATAGCTCAGTGCCATTCCCTCTTCTTGGTAAAAATTGTTCCCTGCCACTCTCGTAAGCGATGTCTGTGCCCTCTAAGCTTAAATGTCCACCAACAGTTGTGGCTACCTACCCTGGAGTAAGGTAACAGTTTTGCCTATTTTAGAAAGACAGTAAGAAAGAAATCCAGACTTGTCAAGGCTTCAAATCATTCACCGCAGCGCCCTCTTTGTAGACAAGCGGCGCAGCGTCTGCTCTCCCACTCCCAGAGCGAGCCCTGGAGAAACATCCACAACTTCTCCGTCACAGAACATGAGCTCTCGGACACCTGAAGTTCACTGTGGACAGCAGGACTGGCCCGTGCTCGTGGCGTTGTGTTCAGGCGGCCTTCCGCCGCTTCACTGTCTAGGAGTGGACCAGCCCATGTCACTGAAAGGTCCCTCACCCGTGGCTGATCTTGGCGGGGGCCCACACGGTGTGCAGAGGTCAGAATCTGTGTCTGACTCGCCTTCTGCAATGTAAGGTCTGATTTTGGCCACAGCTGTGTAGCAACCGTTGTTCAGGACGTCCAAGTTCTCTTTGGACTGAGAAATGCTAAACCCGCTGAAGGAACGCTCCAGTTCCTCATGGTCCACTGACGGGATGGAAATGGAGGTGTCGCTGTCCCTCAAGCCGCTCTCGGGATGCTTGGCGGTAACGTCTTCATTCTTGGCGTACTCGGCACTGGCCCTGTTCCCGCCACTGTAGGCGGACAAGGAGCGCTCGTGTGAAGGTGGTGGCGGGATCCTAACCAGAGAACCAGGGTCCCCGACCGGGGAGGTCCCATGGCTTTGCCGCTGATAGGGCTGCCAGGAGGTCGAAGGAGGGCAGTTGTTGTTTGGCATGGTTGTAGCAGGTGGAGCAGAGAAATTCTTCTGTCCCATAGAACTTGTGGAGCGAATGATCTTGATGATGCAGCCATTTTTGTCGATATGCTCCCGGCTGTCTTCTGGGCTGTGATAGGGTGGTGCTGGGTCAGGTTCTTTAGACCCAAAGTAGGCTTCGGTTTCTGTTGGTGGGATCCCCATCCGTTGCATGTAGATGTTGACCAGGAAATCCAACTTCTTCTCCATGGACTGTACCTGGAAAATGTCAGATGCCAATGCATGATTGTGACAAAATCTTAAGACCCAAGCCTGCTTGTCTCCCTTACCCTTATGCACACACAGGATTCTACTCCAGAGACAAGTCCTGCTCTGAGCCATGAGACAGACAGAGAGAGAGAGATCCACTTTACGTTCTTAGCATAAAGCCAAAATGGTTCCCAAGGAGACCTGGAATCCCACCACGAAAAGTCTGCCAAGATCATGTACTTCTTACCCCTCCATGATCAGCTTAACCCCTCTGTCCTGGGCTTCATGGAGCGCCCCAGCTCCATGAACATCTCCATGAACAGTAGAGTATCCAATCTGATGAGATCCAAGAGGCAAGCAGGTGCCACTGTGAAGGAGACCCTACCCCTTATGGCTCCTTGCAATATTCCATGGGGTCAAGAGATCAGAAGAAGACCCTTCAGTGATGACCAGAACATGCAGCGAGGAAGATACAGGATGAGGCAACCCAGGGTGCCAGTCCAAACCCAAACCAGAGGCTTTGCACCAGCCACAGCTCCTGGGCACTTTTGCAAGGCAGACTCCTGTAGAACACATGCCAGCAGTCCAGCCTGGAGATGCCTAAAGCCGAAACAGCTGCTGGCAAGATCCAATTCAACCGCGAGAGCTGTGGTTAGCAAACCAGGCAGATGTGGGAAAGGGTGCCCCTGCCCTTGACGCCACCCGTGCATCCAACAGCAGCTGTGTTCAAAGGACCCCGTTTCAAGCTATGGAAGCCCTGTTACAAGCTCCCTTGTCGCCCTTTTCCAGAACTCCTTCTAGAACAGGCTGCACACCTAAACCTAGATCAGACGATCCATAGCTCTCAACAGGGAGAGAGGGAGGTGAAGCATCCAGGGGAAAGATGAGAGGCCCCCTTAATTGGCTCAGCTGGGACCAAAGCGCTAAACTTTCAAAACACCCTCCGTTAGTGGACGTTCATCTTAGCAAATCTGCACTGGCACATCTGCAGTTGGTTCCTGAATTTTCTCATTTCTCTCCTCCTCCTATGCCCTCTTCTCAAAAGGCTCGTTGGAGGAGACTGGATCATTTTGGAACGTGCCACTTACCTGCTTTTCCACCTTTCCAAGTCGGCCCATCATACTTGGATCTTCAGGAAGCTCCCCTTCGGCAGGTCCTTTGGTTCGGTCCTTATCTGTCATGGATGGCCCTCGCCCAACGATCTGGTCAACTCTACCAGGAGCACAAACGCCACCGAGAAAAAGCCATGAAGTTAGCGAGCTACAATTAAGGAGTCAAAACACTATTCTATTCTATTCCTATTCATATAATCAGAAGGAAACAACTAACAGAACACCTCTCTGTTTCTGTAAATGCACATCGGTTCAGAATCCACTGCTTCAGTTGCTAGAGATATAATCTGGCACATTATGCATAGTAAACATCCCCCTAGGAAAGAATTTGATGTCATTAATGCTCAAATGAACACGCATATCTTTTTAAAACTGCATGTGAATAGATCTGTCTATAATTCAGGGACAGGCAAGCTAGTGCCCTCTAAAACTTAGGGGCTAGGATCCCCCTCATTCCTGGCCACTGGCTGTGCTGCCTGGGCCATCAGGTAATTATAGCCTGAAATACTTGGCGGGGGGGGCAGCTTACAAGTCCCTGTATGCATGACAATGGTCCAATTTTAATGTCTTGTTTTGTCATATCTGTACACACACATGCAAATAATGATTTTCAGTTCTTGGAGATTCACTTCAGGTAAATGGCCCAGGTTCCTAGGACAGGAATTAACTTTTCAGGCCCAAGTCCTGGCTCCAACCCCAGAATGCAAGATGGAATCACTTTCAGTGACCCCTTGCCGTACCTATCCTCCTCTCTGTAGGATGTGAAGAAAGACAGCAGCGCACCTGCAACTTGGCCCAGACACACAGAGGAAAAGATCTTGCAAGTGCAGTTTGTCATGCTGGGCTAAGGCCGCATCTGTCGGAATTCCTTCCATGTAACTATGCCGCGAGATACATCAGCTCTCTGGCTTCCTTTGCATCTTATTTCTCTCTGCTTTACTGTTCCTTTTTTTTTTTGGGGGGGGGGGCAAATCAAAAAAAGTGGTGCTCTTAATCCAGGTGTGAAGGGCAGTGGAAACTACATGACCAATATTGACCACTTTCTAATCAACACCATAGCCTCCCCAAAAGGAAATCTTGTTGTAAACCGTCCCGAGATGTTAGTAATGGGATGGTCTATAAACGCTTTAAATAATCCTAGGCATGCCATTTTTTCCTTAGAATTTTTGGTGAAAAATCCTTAATTGGATGCCATGACATCTCGAAAGTTCAAAAGAGGTCAGTATTTTTTTGGTTCTACACCAGATGGGACGGCTTAAGAAACTGCCCTTGCCAAAGAGCCCCTTCCCATAGCTAATGGCTCAAAGAATGGTTTGACCACATCCCACAACCCCCCTGCTGAAGCGAAGCAGGTCAAATCTTCTAGATGGATGGGAGGGCTCTCAGAACAGTTGGAAAGTATGGGGCGTTGAGCATGGCAATTCCCTAAAAGGTTAACAGCCATAGCTTATTGATCCATTCTATTGGGTGAGGTTTTCCCCGGCTCAGTGGATTATATAGTTCTGATCGCAGGCTTCATCAAATGAAACAAGACTTACCCATCACAGTCAAATCATTTCCCAATGTCATTTCGCATACTGGGAACAAAGATCCTTTTCCGGCCACATAACGCAATGGGTCATACTTGTCAATCTGTCCTAAGAGTTGGCCATTTGCCTTAATCATGAACCCTCAATTAACCCAGGACAATGTAATCCTTGCATAATATGCCAGACGTGCACAGGTGAAGTCAAGAACAAAACAGCAACAGAAAAACAAGTAGATCACTCTGTCTGAAACCGAGTTAGTGGTCTGGAACAAAAGGAGAACAATGCTTCTTATACAGTTCCGAAGTGGAAGCAACAGGTCCATGCACAAGGAGATGGATGAGGTTATGAGTTTGAATGCAGACAAAGGAAGGGCAAGGAAAGATTGACACGATGAAAGTACTTTGCAAAATTAAAAGTGCTCTCCTGATTACACATCATAACAAAACCAAGGAAAGGTGCAAGACGCAAGGCCATTTCCAGCAATACAGCCACATAGGTTGCCTGAGTTCATCAGAAGGAAGATTCGAGCTTTGTCTGGCATCTATAGTAGTATGTTCAGACTAGGATGCATGAGGAATTTGCCCTGAGGGTGAGAATCTGAGGCTGTGAGTCTGGTTTCCTGGCAAGCATTTCCAGCATTCAAGCAATACTTGCCGGGAATCACTCCCCACAGGACCGCTGCACAAGAAGCATCCCGCTTCCACGTCATGTACACTCCTTTGAAAGAAAGTTGCTGGTTGCACAACTGGGGTCCCACAAGTGCTTGCAGACTTCCTCTTGGCTCAGCGGCCCTTCCAAGACAGGGCAGAGCACAAGAAGTCCATGAATTTTTGAGGGACAGATTCACTGCGGCATTAGTTCGGACTACAGAGAGGGTTAAGCAAAGACGAAGGGATAAATCTCTAATTCACATAAGTCACTGGGCCTCTGCTATTAGTAGAAGACCTCTGTCCCCCATCCTTCTGAATCTAACCTCTGAGCCAAGTTCTCTCTGCTGATGCCCACAGGCCCTTTTCTGAGCGTGGGGAACCTCACAGGCAGGGCCCTGCCTTGACCATGGCTCATATCTCTTGTGCATGGTGAAGGGGAGGGAGACATCACTCTTTCACACGAAGAAGCCCAGTGAGTTGTGCAAATTTCAACATCCTACATAGATCTCAGTGCCTAGAATTATGGAGTGACATTAGCCAATGTTAACAATACTTATGATAGAGCTGTATTTTTAGACATTCACGAGATGCACAAGGGATTGTCAACATTCTCTTGCCAATGTCAACAGCCTCTGCATTTTGTGTGCAAACTCATGGTTTTGTTGTAGGTTTTTATCTGTGGGTTGTGGCTGTGTTAATTTTTCCGGGGAAACTTCTACATAGTGTTCTTGCCTAAGGAAAGCAGAAAGCCACAGGGCAAGCACTGAAACAGGATAAAATTAATTGCATCCTTTTGTTTAGAGAAAACAAAGAGTGGGATTACTTGGGCTTGTGGTTGAAATGGAACATATTTCTCCTAGATGCAAATGCACTTTCAAGAGATGCAAAATCAGTTGTGAACTTGGACTCAGTTCCACCAAAACCAATATGGCTCATCTTGATCTTACATGCACTGTCCTTTCAAATATGACCAAGCATCCCACTGGTGTAACAGATTCTTCTGCAAGGTGCAGAAATGGGAAATCGTTGCATTGTTTCTCTGCAAAACATACATTTCTTTTAAGGAGGGATGCTCAGCATTGAGTCAAAGGTCTAAGTCACACATGATGTATTCAAAGAAGTCTAGCAGTTGAGTTGCACTTCATAGCCAACCCAGATAGGTCAATCCGCCATGTTCGTGAAATACTTCAAGACGAATCCAGAGACTTGGACCCAAGTGTGTCCATGATCCCACAGTGCTGGATGGGATTACTGTCTTCAATACAGGAGTTACAACAGTGTCAACAAATGTCAACACAAATGTTACAAATCCTCCAACATACATGCTATGATATGATGAAATCAGACCAACGGTCCATCTAGACAAGGATCCAACTTCCTACAGTAGCTAAATGGGTGCCACTGGGAGGCCAAAGACCAGGAGTTGAGGAGGGCAGACACTCCTGTCGCTGTTCCCAGCATACACTGTCTTTGATCCTGAAAGTTTCAGTGGATCTCGATTCACACATGATAAACCTTGTGTGTGGATTGTCGTTGAGCCATGGGCTATTGCTAAAACCTGGGTTATCGTGTTGTCTGAACCCAGCTAAGATAACAAACCATGGGAAACCCACAGTTCACAACCCAACAAGAAACCATGGGTTCTTCTCCTGTGGTTAGGAAGCATTTGGCTTGTTAGCACAGCTGAGTTCAGACAACATGTTACCACTGGCCAACAGATCACACTCAACCCTTATCATGTTGTCTGAACCCAGTCAATGACTCTGAAAAGGTGAGGTGGTAACCCCTAGGCATGTAAATGAGTTTATATTACATTTGTGACGTTATCATGTGAGTTTCACTGGTTTCTGCATAGCTTAGTTGCACCTACCCAAATGGGAAAGAAGTAGCTTAAGCCATCAACCTTCATTACAAGTAATGTCTACTATATACTTATTACCTATTGTTACACAAATGTAACAGAATGATAGTAAGCAATTTCACCCTGATCCGTTTTTGCGGTCACTTGAAAAAGCTTTCACTCTGTGTGAATCATTTGTAACCAGGATTTCCTTCTTTGAAGTGACGAAGAAAGAAAAGCAAAATATAAACTATCCATTCAGCCACACTGCCGTTTTCTCTCATGCTTCGTTATGCTCCATGCTTACGGAAACATGCACAGAGCTGTGTCTTTGGGGTCACCCCCTAGCCAGAAGCAGGCAGCAAAGATCAAGACTGTTCATATGGGGTGACAGCAGAGAGATAGAGAGAGAGAGATTATTTTTTTTATGAACCGTTTGGAAATTATATTTGTAAAAGCTGCTTTTGGGACACAGTCCAGGCACTGCCACCCAACCCCTTTCACCTGGATCCTAGGACAGGCTACTTACCCTCGGACTGGCTTGAAATATTGCTAAGGTATGTCTGATGACGCCACTTTTTGCGACTGCCCGGAATGGTGAATACCGGTGGCCAATTGCATGCAAATCCACCAGCCCTGAAATACTGGATTAACCAAAGTACGTGCTCCCACGGCACTGCTTTCTTGGGACCGTTCCTCTCCAGAATGAGAGAGCACGGCCACCCATGTGAAGGGTCTCTCACAAAAAGCCTTGCATGGAAAATGCTGGGGCAGAAGGGACAGAGCTCTGTCATAACTGCTCTTTCACACAGTCATCCTTCCCTTCCTCGAAGAGCTCAGGAGAGTGCCCGCCTCTCCACCCACCCCGACACTCACACGCATCACTAGAACCTCATGGGTCAGTCTAGATACGGGGAAGGACACTAAATCGCGGGCTCTCCCACTGCGTTTCGAATTAGGATTCTCCCGGGGAGGAAACATCATGTGGAATTTCTGGATGTGCAAGTCAGAAGCTTCTCTAATTCCCCGTTTGCCACCAGGTCATGCTGGTCATTCCTATTTTCTAGCTCTTCATGTGAATGAGCGGGCCTTGGTTAGGATGTGCTCTTGCATTCAGCTTGACCAATGTCATGTTCACTTTATGGTAGGCAACTTTTGAAACTCCTGCTCATCTTGTGT